AAAGCTCTTTATTCTCCTGTTCATAGGCTCTAGAAGGAACACACTACAGCAATACACTTGCATAACAGTTATACCCCTGAAGCAACTTGTATTTTCATTTTTAAAATGCAGCTTAAGAGATGATTTAGTATGATTTTCCAGAATTCCAGTCTTGTCTCCTATTTCCATATGTCACATGCAAAACCATTAATTTATTCTGAATTTGGGAAATACACATTTTTTTGGTGTTTTAGGTGATTTAAATGCTGTTTTGGTAGTGAATGACTGTTGATGACTGTGTAAAATGCATCTGTACTGTACATGAAATGTAATTATTTCTGTGTATCATACAAAGAAACCAAGATTGTTGTTTTGACAATTTCGTTTGACAGTCATATATCGTATTTCAGAAGGCAGCATAATACACGTGTTATGCTGAATAAATAGACATTTGAGGAATATTTAAATAAAACATCTGCATGCTTGAATGGGTCAACTTGGTTTTGCAATAACTTATTAATGAAATTTTTTTTCCCCTCTAATAATTTGGAAGGAACACTTAATATGAAGTCAGCAAATATCCTAGACAGTAATTCCAGACAAGACATGAGTGTATCTTAACCATACTAGAACCATCAAGGCCAGGATGCCACAGCTCCACTGCAGAGTTGCCCTTCTCCTGAGGGACCAGCCATCACCTTTCACTTCCCAGCCTGCAGCAGCAGAGAAAATTGGAGCAGCAGTTTGAACACTTCCAGCAGTATAAACTCAACCTCTTTATCTGTATTTTAAAAAATGTCCCTTATGTACATCCAAAAACCAAACTGCTCTGCTGGACTTCTCATACCCGCTATCAAATTCCCTTGATAAAATATGAGTGCACAGAGAAGATCAAATTTTTTGTAGTCTAAGAGCAGGTAGCAACACACCATGGATCACTAATGATGTAACTAGGGTAACAAGGTGCAGATGATGTTGATCAACCCTGGCGCACCTGATGGCTGCCTCTGTGAGGAGCTCGCTGCACTGGGTGGTGGGGAAAGATAACAGATAACACCTGTCTGTGAGCTATCCCAGAGCATTTTTGATAACAACTGTGCTCTCATAAAATAGCCACAGAAGGCAAACTGAAAACGTACACTTTACCTTTTGAAGTTGTGGATATAGTCTTGGTGGAAGCATCCTGGCTACCAAAAGAAGGCTTTCATAGCAGAGAACCCAATGCAGCCTCAGCTGCTGCAGAGAGAAGGGGGCATTCTGAGAGGAAGCTGATCTGGAAAAGGACAAATTACTGAAGCCACAGGATCTTTAAATTTTGTGTAGGGAGCGTGGTTAGGAGGTCATAAGCCCTCTTTGCTGCACCTGAGGCCCACCAGGGCTTTATTTTACAACTGTCTATGGGAATATTTTAGGACCATCACCTGTTCTAGAGGAGCCATCAGCTGATGGGATACACAAACATGTGGCTAAAAGAGTAGGAGTGTCAGGAGTGAACACAGATTGGCAATGTCCAGAAGATACATGGAATTATCCAGCAGCTTATTTTCTTACCCACCTATATCATCTAGTTGTCTACCTAACAGTATCTATGCAAAAGGAACAACTGAAGTGGGGGAGTGCTGAATAAAAAGGAAGTAGATATATAAAAATTCTCAAAAGTTTAGGACATCACATTTTTTTAAACAGGAAGTAGGCAATCATACACAAGTTGGAAAGTTTTAGATACAATCTCTCTTCAACAATAGCATTCTGTATGAATTAAATGCAATGCTTGTAGTGGGCTGACAACACTGGCAGGATGCCAGATGTCCACCAAAGCCACTCTAGCTGTTCCCTTCTCAGCTGGGCAGGGAAGAGAAAATGTAACAAAGTAATATATCTTGGGTTCAGATATAGACAGGGAGAGATCACTCACTGACTGCTGTCATAGGAAAAACAGACTTTGCTTGGTGCAATTTATTACCAATCAAATCCAAATAGGGTAATAAAAAATAAAACATCTTTCCCCCATCCTTCCCTTTTACCTAAGCTCAACTTTATTCCTGAACTCTACCTCCTCCTCCTCAGACATGCAGGGAGACAGGAAATGGGGTCTGTGGTAAGCTCATCATGTGTTTTCTGATGCTCCCTCCTTCTCCAAGGAAAGGCTCCTCACACTCTTTACATGCTCCAGTATGGGGTCCCTTCCATGGGAGATGTTTCTCCACAAAAATCTCCAAAGAGAGTCCTTCCCATGGAGTGCAGTTCTTCATGAACTGCTCCAGCATGGGTCCCCCCCAGGGTCACACACAGCTGCCATCAGACCTGCTGCAGCGTGGGTTCCTCTCTGCACAGGTCCTGCCAGGAGCCTGCTCCAGTGGGGGCTATGACAAGGTCACAGCTTCCTCCAGGCACCCACCTGCTCTGGTGTGGGGCTCCTCCTGGGCTGCAAGTGGGTCTCTGCTCCACCATGGACCTCCCTGGGCTGCAGGGACACAGCCTGCTGCACCATGGGCTGCACCATGGGCTGCACCATGGGCTGCAGGGGAACCTCTGCTCTAGTGCCTGGAGCACCTCCTGCCTTTCCTTTTTCACTGACCTTTGTGTCTGCAGAGCAGCTCCTCCCACTCCCCTCTCCAGCTGCACTTGCTGTTGCCACAACCACTTCTTCTGCTTCTTAAATAGCTATCCCAGAGGTGTTACCCCTCCAAAGGGCTCATCCTTGGCCAGCAGTGGGGCCGTGCTGGAGCTGGTTGGCTCCGGCTGTCAGACGCAGGGGAAGCTTCTCAGAGAAATCACCCCGTAGCCTCCCCACTACTGTGCCATGCAAACCTTTAGTGCTTCAATTTTGTAAGACTTTAATAATCTATGTTTTTCTGCACAGTTTACAGAATCACAGAATATTCTTGAGTTGGAAGGGACACACAAGGACCAAGTCCAACCCTTAAGTGAATGGCCCATATGGGGATTGAGCTTGAAACTTTAGCATTATTAGCACCATGCTCTGAGACCAAAAACAATGCTTTTGCAATAAAAACTTTAAAAGCTATTTATAAATCCCTTCCTCCACCACATTTAACTATATAGTTGCTGTAACCATCAGCCTCTTTTTACTATTCATTCTTTATATATTCCCTTATATTCATATATGCTTTTACAAAATGAAAAGCAATAAAGAAGAAAATACAGCTCTTTCCTTCCAAAAATCTTGGTCATACAACCTGTTAGCAGATGAATCAATACCAGGACCAGATCCAAGGACCAGAAAAGTGATCTTTGCCTCCTAAAAGCATGCTCAGCCCCACAGCAACAGGCACAGTCCCATGGACTTGGTACAGTCACTGGGCTGAACACAAAGCTTGGTGCTGGCAGGAAGTGACCCCTTTTTCTGATACAGTTGCACTCCTTGAGTGCTCTCTGAAAAATGTTAAGGAGCATCTCTGCAGTTGTTTGCTTCAACAAGAAAGATTTAGTTCATTACACTTCATGCTGCAGAGAACAAAAACCACACCATCCTTCTCCAAGTACTCCTGTAAAACTGAGAAAAAAAGAAAATAAGAGGAAGTAGTTTTCACTGCCTCAAGTATCTCTAAATGTTCCTGTCTTGCCAAGCAGCCTCTCTCCTACATAGAATCTAAAGCTCTACAGGAAAAGAGCAGGCTCACCGCAGCCTAGCCAATTAATTTCAAGGCTCTTTGAAGAAGCCCTAGAAAAACAGGCACCTCATAGCCTGAGCAGTCAATGAAAAAATTCTTGAAGTGTTCCAATTTACAGATGAGACCTATTTCTGCAAATGGGGTTAAATACTCAAAATAGAATTATTCTTTCCCAGAATGTAGACAGGCTCAGGATTTGGGTAGCCAAGCCCAAGTGAGGTTTTGCTGACTGCAAATGTTCATTGTTGTGGAGGTCCATAAACACTGCTTTGGGAGGTTGGCTCTGTGTCTAAGCAATCCCTCTGCTGTTAAAGAAACGTGACTACATCTGAAGGCAGTGCTTCCTCACACCCAGACAGCTTAAAACCAAATGACCTGGGCTCTAAGTATCTCTAAATCCCAACACAATCCCCTAGCTTGGCTTGCCCTATTTGTTCCTTGATGAGCAGGTTAGAATATATCCAGGTTAGAAGATACACAGGCAACCCCCATGATAGTCTGAGCAGTCCTTGTACAGAAAGACCAGGAATATTTGAAGCATGGCTAAGCATGGCTTCCACAGACACTCCTGGGGTAAAACTTTAAGGGCTGAGGCTTACTGGAAAAAGGGAATTTTATATTTCTTTTTACATTACTTTTTTTACATTAGTTAAGTGAAATTCCCTACATTCAGCAGTAATTCAATGCCAATAGTAGGCGTGTACACGTAATCCATAATCAAGATTTCCCAATTTCTGGTTTGTATGGACTTTTTTGATTTTTAAACAGGGGCAAGTGATGACTCAATGCATTGTGTAGCATCACTAGCATAGCATTCTGAAGCCTAGAGATGTCCTGCACTCAGCCTTTGTCAGACACCTGCTCCTCAGTAGGAACCTCACCCTCAGCTAAGGCAACGCTACCCAGGCTGAGCAGTGGGAGGGTGGAACTCAGCTCTGCCTGTGCAGCAGCACCGGGACAAGGCTTTCCAAGCAGAACATAAGAATGTATTCCTGACAAAGACACTCCCAAGCAAAATTTCAGGATGGTCTCTCCTTCTATCTTCTTTTACCTCCCAAAATAAGTATTAGCATCTATAGAAGTGCAAAAGCAGAAAGGTAATCTTGCTTGCAATAGTACCCTTGAAATAATTATCCCCAGAAGCAGACTGCGGAAAAGCAAACAGCCCACACAACTGAAGTGCTTAATTTCACAAGCCCTTAAGAAGTTTTCTCAGAAGTAATAAAAAAAAAAAAAAAAAGAAAATTGCACTAACATTGCAGCTTCTCCCCAACAGAGTAAGTGGAATGGGTAAGTCAAATTAACTCACACTAGCAGGAGGACCTTCCCAATGCCCATCCAAAGCACTCCCACTCTAGGACTAAAAAAACAAAAGCCATTACAGAATTTAAGAGAAAAGTAATTTTATTGTCTACCAAATCACACCTTGATTTCTTTTTTCCTTTTACAAATTCCAAAACAAATGAATTTTTAATGTAATATTATGTGAAAAGCCCATTTGCCACAAACTACTATACTCAATGAAACAAATATATATTTCAAGAGTGTGGCCAATTGTAAAAATAATCCTATGACATAGACATTGCTCATAAAAATACAGTAAAATGCACTTTCCCCACCTTAATAAATACATTTTAATCTGTTTCTGGCTGGCATTTTAGGCCACCAGAGATTTCTTAATGAAGCACTCATCAAAGTAAAATTTTTCCTTGTGTACTTTTACAATTATTGCAATAGCATCCAGAACTGTAAGCATTTTTCCTGCAGTCTTTTGTTTCTAGCTTCAGGGGAATCATGGACAGGAGAAAAGATTTATCTATAAAAATGTGCTACTCCCATATTGATTCCCATTTTGGCAAGAATGTTTAAGGTTTTCTTCCTTTTTACTAAGAAACAGTCCACAGAACAAACTGTTTGAAGGAAGAATTCTCCAGAAAACTAAAGTCTATTGTCCATAGCAACAGTTTTGTTTTCAATCCCTGTTTAATATATTTAAAACTAAAAAAAACATTATGTTAGATAAAAATAGAAGTTTTAGAACATCTTTAAGAACAAAAACTAAGATAAAGATTTTGTTAGAAAAAAGAAAATCTCGCCCTTTTTACAAATCTTGCAAATTTTTGAATCCAAGTACTAACTTGAATTGTAGCTCTGCTTTCCATGCACACATGAAAACACACAACTATACATACATAGATCCCTGATAAAGATATTTTCCAAATGGCTTATTAAAAGTCAATTTCAGCTGAAGTCACATTTTGTTTGCTCAAAGCACAGTTGTTTCTTCAGAAGATGAATATTTCTCTTCCCTTCCCATGATGCTTCCTTACAGGTTCAATGTACCTGTGATTGATGTCAGTGTTTTACACTTCACACAGCTTGTGCCAACGACTATTACTGTGCCCAACTGAATGAGTGCCTTTTAGAAATGAATACACAAAATCAACTCTCTTTCACAGCTGAGGACATGGCTAAGAGGCTGGCAACAGGCTCATCTTTCTTTGCTGGCCTTCTTCACTTCCATTCATTAGCTGGTTTCCAACACATAAGAAGACTGGTATATTTGATGGAACAGAACAGAAGTAACAACAACACAAAAAATCCTCTGTGACTTCGCAGATTCATTGGATTGCTTACAGCTCTTCCATTTCAAACTGTGTACTAAAGCTGTTTGCCATGGATGTATGTTCAAAGATCCTGGTCAGGCTTGGTTTCAGTAGCTCCATGGAATGACATGACAGCTCCTGCGAGGTATCACTCTTCAGTGCCATGATCTGATCTGCTCTGGGATCCCTTCTGTCATAGTACAGAGCCCACAGCAAAGTAATAGTGAGGATCATGGCCAGGATCTGCATTACTCCAATAGAGATTCCTAGGAATCTCAGCACTTGCAACTGCTTCGTCCCCCTCAAGAAAGTGTACATTTTTTTACCACATCCCTGTAAAACAAAAACAGATTAAAAAACAGTCAGTAATATTTGGGTTGCAGTTCCCAAGGCTTAGCTCATCCTAGCCACTACTGTCTTTTCTGGCTCTCAAGAATCTCTCACTTCCTTCAAACCTTCCTTCCTTCATTCCTTTGAAAATTATTTTGCCTACTTTTTAACTGCTTCCATAATGCCAACTTTAAGTTTGCTCATACACAGGGACTTTACCAAAAGATATTTGTGCTACTTTTCAGAAATAACTCAAAGTTAATCTGAATTACTATCAACTCTCACTGTTAAAGAAATTCAACTTGTTTTGCGAAGGTTTAAAAAGCCATTAAAATCCTTTTTATTATCTTGTTTCTCTCTTTAAATTGAAAATCTTCAAAGCTGCCAACTATTTTAAACTCTTTTAGACTTTTCCTACACATAATACTACACTCTGAAGCTAAAACAGTATTGTAGGAAAGATCTATGGACCTGCGTAGCCTCATCAGCAAACATCCCATGAAAACTATGCCACAACACTGTAAGCTGATGTTCATAGAAATGGAATTTAGCTCTTTCCAAACCTTCAATGCAGGCTCCACAGTTTGCTTCCATGGCCAACTAACTCCCACATAAGGCCTCAGAAAAGCTCCCAAGCCCGTGTAAGGCTGCAGGGATTCACAGAGAGGCAGCAGCTTTGGGAACTGCTGGCTAGGAGTGCAAGCACAAGTTACAGTGCTGTCGCTCAGAAAGGGTGATGTGAGTCTTAGAGACAATAAAACCAAGAAGAGAGGGACCTCTGCTACACTGCATGATGCTTATTCTCTATTCTAAGCTTTGCAGGGTTTCACAGCACAATTATCAAAGTAAAATACATATCAAGGGCAAACTCAGAGTAACAAATTGGATGGGCACTGGTCCCAGACACAGACATCAAGAATCCATCAAAATGGGCACTGTCTTGAGAATGTTATTTGTTGCATTTACATCCTCACTTCATATTTCTTATAGCTTTTCTAAGAAAATAAAGCAATTGATCAAAGTGATGGAATCTGAAGACAGGACATGATAAATAACACTTTTCAATCACACATAAATTCCCCAAAGCCAATTTCCCCAAAGCCAATTTCAAATGCTACAGTCCTAGAAGCATTTGATGTAAGGTCCAATTTTTGCCACACACACAGAATTCCCACTGTACTCAACCGATTTTCATTTAGGATGTAAATAAAATTAATGTACTCTATGATAATTCTACCAGAATAAATTATACGATCTTGATGTCTTTGCTTGTTTCATTGCTTCATTTTCTAAACAGCAGCAAAGACACACAAAAAGGAGCAAATATGCATTCTTTGAAATTTAAAAAAAAAAGTAACACTGTAGCAAAAGCAATGTAATTGGAATTGAGAGGGGGACAAAAACTGTCACATTGGCATCTTCTTTTCTTCAACTGTAAGGCAGTTGCAGCTATATCACTTCCCAAATCTGTTGTTAATTACAGAGAAACTGGCTGCATTTTAATACTTTTAACTTAAAGAGATGAAAGTGCATGCTGGTCACAATTCAAAAATGTTCTACCACAGCAATATTCAAACTTATTTCATTCGTTGCCTAGAGCAAACACCCACTAACAGAGAGCAATACCATTAATGCCTACATCTCCTGCAGTACACAGACACATAACTGAGACAAATTACGCCCAATCTAGGTAGACTGCTTTCCTCCATTCAATGATGCTCTTAGAGCTCTGCTCTAATACATGTTCAAAATCAGTTTCAAAACTGAGAAAACACAGCCAGCCCTGTTAACTTCACATTCATGCATTTTATTTCTGCTTATGTGACACTTCCATAGTTGGCAGCCTGCAATTAAACAGTACATAAATACACTTCCATCAGCAAAAGCTTGTCACTAAATGGGGAGCTCTTGTTGACAAATCAAATATAGTCTAAAACTTTGCAGCAATCATTCAGGAGAATCAGCTTCAGATTCCTACAAAGCTACAGATTAAAGGCCTGATTCATTTGCTTTATACTTTAAGTCTTGAGATAGAAAAAAAAATATTTCTTATTTAGTATATATTACTGATTTACTTCATAGAGTAAGAATCTGAACTGAAATAAAGAACTTCACTGAGCAAAAAAATAAGCCATCAGCAAACTCAACAAATCTTTTGTACACCCAAATTTTGAATATACTCAAAAGTATATTGATGCAAGTTGTAAAATTAAATATTAAAACAAACCAAAATTAAGACAAAAATAATTTAATTGAATTTTGAGTATACTCTAAATTATGCCAGAAACCAAAAGATAATATTGAACATGCAAGTTTGATTTTTTTTTAAGATATTGATTCCCACCAATCATTTTATCTACACTGCAGCTCCCAATCACAAGATGGGCAAAGCTCCTCTTGTCCTCAGACCACAATAAACCTCCAAGGCCACATCATCATCTTCACACTTCCCCCACAACCATGCTCTAAGGTCAGTCTGTTCATGAAACTGCACCAAAGGTGAAACTCATCAGAATAAAAGCAATTCAAGAAATTGAAAAATAGCTTTCAATATCCAGCAGGGAAAATATGATTCCTGACAGAAGTACTTTCAAGCAGAACTGTAAGTCACCTTTCTTTCTGCAAAAATTAAATTGTGAAGGATTCCAACTTAAGACTATAGAAAGCTCCGAGTTCCCAGCAAAAAATCACAGCACAGCTACAAAAAAAACTCATTTATCAGTCCTAGACAAACCAAACTTCAGTTTTTTTAAGTACTACAAAGAATTTTTCTGAAGTACCAGAATGGACTTGCCAAATATTTACATAAACCAATTTTAGGCTAGCAAGGCTAATCTTATCAGGCTCCCTCTCAAACCACCAGACTATGCAAGTTTGGTTTGAATCACTTTCTAAAAAAGCTTTTTCCTTCAGTTCTCCAAAGCAGAAGTTAGGCAGATTAGTCCTGCAAGTGTAAGCTGTTTTTGCATAATACCGATAAACTTATTAGCAAGCACACTGTGAGAGTCCGTGAAACACCCCACAGGCAAATGCCATGCAAAGAAACATTTTGCCAACAAAAATTGTATGTATCTCAAAGAGAAATGAAGTATTTTTGTGGCTGATACTACTGAACACAGCCTGTCCCTTTTTGGAATGGATTCTGCAGTGGAGAACCAAAAATAAATTTTTGCTAACTGCTGAATCCATGCAAAATGCTCTGCAGTACAATAAAGGAAAAAACGTAAGTGTGCCCTTCAGATTTCTTTTGGAAAAAAAAATAAGCCAAGCAGCCCTTCTTTTATCAAATGGGTCTTAACACTTATTATTATGTCCTACATAATAATCATCTTTGGCTGTTAATTTTCTCCAAATAGAATCAAAAGAACCTGACCATATGAAGGGCTCAAAGAACCATTTTCCTGGACTATGGCATGGGCATGAAAGGTTAGCAAAAGAGGTGACACAAGAAAACCTTGCACTTTGGACACTACATTCCAATGACTAATACTTCTCAGAAATTTTTGAGCTTCCTGTGCTCAAAGAGCAGTTTTTCACTGAGTGACACTGCTTACATACTCCTGCATTTCAGGCAGGGAGCAAATGAATGTTCTACAGCTTCTATATACTCCTTGGAGACTCTCTACAACAGACTTGTCTGTATGGTAGTAACAGCAGCAACATTATTACAAAAAGCAACCATTATTGCAGTGTAAGCCACAATTTTTAGCTTTTCAAAAGGCATAAGGGACTGGTAGAAGAAGCCTGAATGCCTTTCTCATTCAGGGACTGACACTTTTAAAGCATAACCAGTGCTGTCAGTGCTGTGAGCCTTACCAAAAGGCAAGAGAAGGTCTACAAGTAACTGGGGGGAAAAAACCCAACCTCTGCCACCATCTTTAAGGTTCCTAGCACAGACTAGCCTTCTGACTAGCAGCCTTTTGGCTGCTCTATCTTATCTCTTCCTAGTGGAAGCACACAGCCTCCTAAAATGGATGTCTGAAAATCCAGATTAGATTAAATAATTTCTGTTCATAGTCAGTACCACACAAATCAATTTCCCCAAAACTTGACTGTTTCCTGGCAATAGCTAGTATTCATTTTGGCTTGTTTATGCAGTGAATCTCCTCTGCTTCAGAGGTGTTGGTCTATACCTTCTTAACTGGAGCCATGCAACAGATTCTTCTAAGAACAGGTCATAAACAGCCTCTCAGACTGGGAGAAAATAAAATGTTTTTTTGGGTCCTCTTCCATAATGCAGAGCTGCACCATCCACTGGAGAAATGTTCATGCTGCAGCATCTGAAAGCATGATTGTAAGGCCCATCCTCCTTCCTATGCACCCTGTATTACTCCAAAAGCAATTTGTGAAGAATGCACCTCTGCTAAGATCCTCACAACTATGTGACTGAGCCATGCTTTCTGTCCTCTGTTGGACTACTTGGACTGCTGGTCATTCTACTGCTACTCAATGTACAATTACAAGTCTTCAGAGATCTCCTAGCATAAAAAAAAAAGGTGGCTAACAAAGTAGTTTTCAGAAAAAGGTGACTTTAGACACTATCTGTGAGAAGAGAGTTTTAGTAAAGAGCCTATTGTCTTGCTTTTGTAATTTTCACCCTTAAAAACAGTATTATCTTGCTATCATGATGACCTCCCTTACTCACTTCAAGTTCAAACAGGTCCTTGCCTTGTTTTAAGGCTTTCTTTGTAATTCTTTTTAAATTATCATACTGTAATATAGGAAGAGTGCTTTCACAACAAGTTTCTAGACATGCTGAGAGTACAACCAAATTATCCACCTCCTGACATGATTCCTGTTAACAAGAGAGCTCTCATCTTTCAAAGGAATTATCAAAAGCGTCCTTCACGGTACAATTCACTAAAGTACTCTTCCACTTACCCTGTGGTAGTTTGATGGGATGGAGCCTGGACATTATGTCACACCTAATTTATAACTTTTGGATTGGAACAAATTTGAAATCCAACCTAACCGACACAGAACAAACACTTCAAATTTTAAGTACATCTCAGGTTCTAATGTCATTGCCACTAACTCATCTCACTTCCAGGTAAGGGGTGAGTGGGTAGGTTTGTTTTTCCTTCTTCTCTCCCTCTGCTTCAGCATCAGCAAATAATAACCATAAACACTTTCCATAAACACAACTACTCTACAAAAAATTACTCTATTGCACTGCAAATGATGAATTTGGAAAATTACTGGGTCAGGAAGAATGTACAAAACCTTCCAATATATTCATATTTTTCTCCTTACCTCCTGATAGAGGTCACTGAGATCCTGATGATGTGCCTGCTTAGAGCATCCTGGGAACTCCCTGACACAACAGGAGTCAGGTGGCCAGTCCAATTCTGTCATTTCCAGCCAGTCTGTGAAGTACACCACGCCACAACATTTAAACTGCAAAGGAAGGATCAGGCAAGATCAGTAATAATGATGCTACTTCTTCAACAGGTTAAGTAGGTCACCAAAAAACCTAACAAAGTTCCTAATACCAACTTTCAAAATATTTACATAGAACTAAAGCCACCTATGAGTGCTTCCATGTATCTTGTTTTGCTATACTTTGACATAAAAGCAACATGAAAAATGTAATATAGTGACCAATGAATACCTGAGAAGCAGCCAACAATAACTGCTCTGTCCTTTAAATCCCAACTGCTTCCTCAAAGGATGCTTCACAGAAATTGTCCTATCTCTGGATACTCCTATCCTTATTACAAGGAACTAACACAATTTCATGTCAAAATGCAGACTAATGAACAAGTATACATGTGGCTGAAAGGAGTAGCAGAAAAAGGTCATACTAGTGAGGACTATTCTTGCAAGTGCACAACTACAGACACATTTGCTGAAAACAGAAAAAGCACAGATTTATCTGAATATAAGAAAAAAATTTAAAAAGAAAAAATGTATAGAAAATCACAAATGCTGAAAGAAAAACTGAAAATGGAAGGAAGGGGTATCACATTAAATTAAAATACTGCAACAAAATCAACCACAAAAATAAGAAGTTTGGCTGCAAAGCAGATGAGCTACAAAACCCACCAGGACCAACAACCTGTCTTCTCTGCAAAGCACACCCTGAGATTAAAAGCCAAATTACCAGTCTCCCACATTAGCAGCTGCTTTCACACAGAAAAGGGTGAAGCAGCTACATTAGATTTGGTTTGGCACTGGATGTGGACTTGACATGACTGAAAAGATGGTCTGCTGCAGAAGTAAGATGCTACCTTTCTCTGCCTGAACATCCTCCAGGACCAGCCTGAGTGTAAGTAATTCCCTGAGTCCTTTAATCCATAGGCTTGGGAACACAGCTGGCCCTCTCTACCTGCTTCAGAGCCAGGGTCCTGTATTCCACACCACTCATTGCTCACAATCAAGCAGATCAGTGCCCAGACATGCTGGCATGCACTGTGCCTTTAATTCAGCAGTCCTCTTAAAAATCTCACTTCTCCCTTCTATACCACAGCTCTCGTGTCTCAGTTTTTATTGGTTTGTTACTGAAACTCCTCCCAGCACTGGGCTTTAAGGAAAGCTCAAGCTTTGGCTCCTCATTGCAATTGCAATTAATCACCCTTTTCTTGTATCTTTGATCTTGCTATCTTTTCTTCCCCCACCAAGTTCTTCTTTGCTGACCCTTTCCATCTTCCCTACCACAGTCACAACTTTGATATTAGACCAGCAAGAGAATTGGGGAAAAACACATTTCCCATCTCACTCAGATATTAAAAGATACAGAAGAAAGAATACCAAGCTGATTGGGGCTGAACCTCTGAACAGAAATTGCAACACAGATTTTAACAGAACAGATTTGAAATTGCAACACAGATTTGAACAGAATTGCAATTACAATTCTGCTGACTGAAGAAGGGCCACAAGTGCTTACTCAGACATAAAGCACATACCAGGCTCATATATCTAGCATCTAAACTATGGGTAGATGGACTATAAATGAGAGCCCACCAGTTAAACAGAAATTGTAAAAGAGCTTTCTCAGTTCCCCAAATCATTCATCTGGTCACAGGTGCCATTAGGAAAATCTAACTTCTAAAAACTTCTTCTAATTTCTAAAGGAAATTCTTCTCCCCTAGAAAAATCAGGATTTAGTTGAAGTTTTATTATTAATATTCATATTATAACCACTCGTTATGATGAAACTACAACAGCTAGGAGAGGAGGCAGTATTTAATTTAATCAACCTATACATTCCAACCAAGATACAGTACCAGCTCCATTCAAGGCAAATTGATTGTGACTCTTTGGTTGTATTATCTCAGGTACAGAATAGACCTCTGTTCCCAAATAGGGAAATAAATACTCTACCTGCACATGAAGAATGACTCCATTTCACAGACCACTAACACGGCCAGAGCAGGGAACTGAGCGGGGGAGGAGGGGGGCGCTGGTGTGTAACCTCTTTCTTCCAGATTTTAGTATAAATACAGACTAACCAAGTGCTGCCAGGAAATGTTTAAATAAACAGGAAATCTGTGCAACAATGAAAGATTTCAACATTTCAACTAGGGCAGCACAATGACAGGCATTTAAAGAGTTGTCTTCCTGCACGTGAGTTATATTTGGAGTTAATGGGTTTTACCTTGGGCGATTTCATGTTTCTGTAACATAATACTTCATTCTATAAAAACAGTTCTGAATTTTAGTAGGCTAGAGGGCAAAGCTGTGAATACACAAGGAAGCTTTTTGGTTTGTTTCCCACCCCCCAGTCAAAGGAAATAAAAACCCTCATCACTTTCACAAACCTCGGCCAAAGAGACAGTGTTGGCATCTTTTTGGAAACTTCCTTTCCCATTCCTTTCCAGCTAAACATATCTTAACCATGACAGCTCCATGAAAGGAAACTAACAGAGCCTATGGGAAGGGGAGCACAGTTTAATATTAAAACAACATATAGATACAGTCATTTTACTTTACCTGCAGATTTTTAATTTTACATATATCATATATCCTTTAATGCTATCGTAATCCTAAAAGGTATTGGTGTCCTAACCGTACTGAAAAAAGATATGAGAATATAAGCAACTTAAATTAATTTATTAACATTCTAGTTTTGGTGTTTAAGTACCTTTAGGGCCTACAAAAAGCAAAGAATTGGATATCAAGTGATGGTAAAAGACACTATACAGTGTTTCATACCAAATGAACTTGCATTTATTTTGCCTACTCACTTAAAGCCAAACCTTTTCACTGAGCAGGTGCTCCTTTAGTTCATTAATTAACTATCATCTTACCTCCCTCTGGAAGAAATTCCAAGCATGGGTCAGCCACTGGTACCTAGGTAGGCCATAATTGGTCATCCTGGCTTTCAGTGTGATCATATCAGACCACTGCACTGGAACCTGGAGCAAGGAGAGAGAAGTGACTGACACAGTGGATCAGCAGGCTTGTGCCTCCAAACCCCCAGGTTCCATCTGTACTGAGATCTTTGCAGTGCAAGGACTAAAATAACTGTGTACACAAACAAAACAGGAAAACAAGTGTTGCAATTTTTTTGATACTAATACTTTACAAGCTTTTCTTAAAATGTCAAGGAAAAGTTATTTGTGTCCTTTGCTTACAAATTAATGTACATTGAAAAGCAGTTACATTTTGGAGACATTCAGGGACAATTCAGTACAATTTATTTATATCATTACCAGATTTTTTTACCTGGCATAAAACTTGAACTGAGTCCTATCCAAGTCATCAGGGATGGTATTTGTCTGCCCTAGTTTAGGTTTCCCCCGGTGTTGTCTTAGATAATGGAAATAAACAGCCAAATAGGGAAATTCATCTCAAGATAAATAATTTAAACAGAGCAGATGAATTATTCCCTTGAAGTCTCAAATTCACTTCACTGTCTAAGGTGAAAAATTTTGATTTAAATGTCTAACTTCTACATATGTAAAATTAATTGAGATAAATTCTATCCCTGGAGCTTTTTCAGCCATTTTCTGGCTTTGTCTGGAGTCCTGCACACAGGTATACTGAATGTGCTCCATTTCAGTAACTTGTTCAAGAACAGTAACAAGAAGTATAGACAAGGCCCTATGACCTTTTTTCCCAAACACACTCACAGACTTGTGAACATCTTCTCTTCTGACAGGATTCCTGAAGTATTTTTCTTTCAACTGTGACAACTCAGAAGTGAGGTGCTGGAGCACTCCATTGTCTGAATATGACACCTCAGTTAGCAATTGTTGCAAACAGAGGCAAGTGCTATGGCACCTGGCATACAGTGAAGTTATGAGTCAAAATCAAAACCTCACTTCAGTTCAGCAGCACAAATTTCAGTGTGCCAAAACAAAACAAGGATCTGAAGGCTGCAGTCACCATCCTACGTCACCACATACCATCCATGCTGCGTTTTGCCTTGTCTCTATCAGCCTTAATAGTCATGGTGAAAGAATATACAACTGCAATATCAGCTGTCACTTGCATGGGAGCGGAGTCCAGCTCCCCTAGCAGCCATGACTTTGCTCTCCTATTCAATTTGAAGCTAACAGCAAGGGCATTCTGTAAATGGCAAAAAATGTTATCTAAGAAGAGAAAATTTGCACAATACTTCTCAAGGAATCTGGTCTTCATTGTGCTAGATGCTCTGCAAAAAATATAGAGACAATCACTGCCTGCCTGAGCCCATAATACAAATAGGAACATTTGATAACATTTCATTACCACTGCTAAGTTATACTACATTTTTGATACCCTAGTAAAGTTTCATATTGCCAATGTAATAATAAGGTCCCAGAAATTTAACATGCCTTTCACTAAGCAGATTTTTTGCATTGAACTCATGATGGTTCACGTGAAAAATATGTTAGCAGTACAGTACTAAAAATATTTAAAAGTATTATCATAGGATATTTCTATCACAAACATTTACACAGGTCACTATAATAAATTAATTTGGTTTTGCACTCAGTGCATTTCTCTTTCATCTGCATTGTAAGCTAGCACTCCACTTTCTTTGGATAATATTTGACAGTGCTGCAATTAAGCAAATATTTGCTAGAATATTTTTTTATTAACTTGAGTTAAACACATTCCAAGGTTACATCCACAACAGAATACATTCAACTTCTTTACAAAATCAATGGAAATCAGGAAAATAAATATTCAAGAAGTGAGAGAAGGAAATTAAAAGCAAAGCGAAACAATGTAAACCCCACTGCAGGGAAGGAATTTGAATGCTGGAGCTAAGGAGGGATTCCAGAATCTGTGTGTTTGCTGCAAGAATGCCAACAGGTAAAACTGTACAGGTAATAGGTACATTGATGTACCTATTAAATATCTTGCTGTCACCTCATATGCACACTAGTGCACAATAATATACAACTGAGATGCATTTGTCTGACTACGCCCAATACTCATGTGTAGACAAACAAAAATAAGAGATGCTGCTTTGATTTCAACCTAAGTTCTATAAAGCTCAGTCTGCCACTGAGATCTAATTACTCATTATTATTTTTTTAATGACTATCAAAGCTTGATCAATGCATAAACAAGCCAAGGACCCACACTGGCTTTTCAATCTTGTGGGTGGAATAAATTAGTAATGAGGCACATTACATGCTGAGAGCTATCAGGAGCTGGAAGGAAAGCTGTTTATGCAAGGACTCTTAGAGATTCAACTTGTCCACATACCAAGGAAAGCCCATACTGGATCAGCAGAGGCAGCTATGCCTCAGTGACATTTCTGACAACATCACCCACACTACACTACACACCCACCTACACCAATGCCAACTGATCTCTGAAACCCACCAGGGGCTCATGTGATTTAATGCTACACTGAAACCAATATGATATCAAGACAACTCTATGGTTATAAGAGGGAACTGTCTTATCTTCATGGACTAGGAGGAAGCACATTCTATGGAATGACCTGCACAGGTATGGAAGAACCACTGAAAAATAACTTTTCTCTTCAAGACTGCCACATTCCTTATGATTTTCAGCAGCAAGAAACCCACCTCATCACATGAAGAACAGTGTTAGGACAAAGGGAATAATAGTAAGAAATCAGATAAAAAGAGAAAACAACAAAAAAACAACAACCAGAAAGACCCAACCTAAACCAGTATTTCAGGAGATGAGGAATAAAAAAAAACACATATATATATAGGCAGAGAAGAAAAGAGACAAAGAAAAGCAAAAAAAAAAAAGAGCAACTGTGTTTGCTGTGACCCACTGCAGAAGCTGCAGACATGTAATCCAGTGCTGCTTCCTTTAGCAAAGGGCTGAAGGGACAGCCATGCTTCCTTCTGAAGGGAAACAGCTTGACCAGTGACATATGGTAGGGCAATGCCAGGCTTTATCAAACTGTCCCAGGTTTGGGTTTCAGCAGAATAGTAGATAACCAAAAGCCTGGGGGTCAGACTAAAACACACCACACTTCAGGTTTTCTAACAAATAGTGAAGGTTGAAAAAGCACGTTCCAGTGCTGTGAAGGCTATGATATTTCAGGCAGTTTCCACTGACAAGATTTTTGTGGAATTATGCATTTTAGTCGTAACAATCATCCTTGGCAAAACCCCTGCAGAGGGCAGCTGTGCCCATAACATGAAGAATGCCTCTTGTCTGTATTCCCAATTTTAAAATGAATCAACACAAGCTGACATTTAAAGCAAAGGAACAGCCTTAATCTCTATTATATTAGAAGAGCTTCCTGGAATCTGTACTGCAAGGGAATGAATTCTGATGCAAAGTCCTGCTATGTAACTTGAAATCTGCCAGAAATTCCTTTGGTCCAAGTACTGTGTAAATATCAAGAAAGCCACCTCAACATCTTACTGCAATATAATTGTCATTCACTGTTGGAAAGACCACTATATTGGGCATATCTTGGCAGATGAGAGAAAAATATTTGTCCCTCTGTTCATAAAAATGTACCAGACTGAACACAAGATGTAAGGATATAGCAGCCAGCAGTTACATTCCAGTTTAATTTGCTCAACACTTACCTATTTTCTTACATGATGGTTACAATTCCTCAGTTTGCAACGTTAAAGGCTGATGTAGTTATAAAAACTAGACAGAGATAAAACCTCTTCACAAGTTTACAAAAGAGTGTTTTCTAGTTAAGACATGTTTTGCTTAAAACTGGCATTTATAGCTTGTGGAGGCAGTGTGCAGATTTTAGCAGACAGCAAGTCCTCCACGGAAAGAACATGCTGTCTGTTTACAACATAGTACACTCTTTAAAACGCAAAGAACTTTTGGGAAAAAATCCCTTCAAATTCTCTTGTCTCCTTTCTCCAAATCCATATTTAATACTGAAGTTCTAATTTATCTTCAAAAATATCAAAGACTTCAAAGAGAACCTGCCTGAGCAACAATTAACAAAAAATTAAGCTCTTAATGGGGGATGAAGGAGTTGGTTCTCAAATATAGAGGGGGTAAGGAGAAACCCAGACAGGGCCTTCCAGACAGACAAGCTCCCCCAGGAGAATTCTCCGTTTAAAATGAAGGCAATCAGTTGAAATTAAACTGTCAGAATAATGAACAGAGAAACACTACAGCAATTAGAAAACAGCTAGCTAATGGAAAACTTAGTTTTATTCTGCTGAAAAAATGCAGCCTCCTTTTCTGACTCACCGTTATTTCCTGCTCGTAGGTCCAAACACCACAGGCCAGTTCGACGCAGAATATTACAAGCAAGCTTCCAAAATACTGCAGAAAACAGAATGGTCTTAGCTATTATTTATCCTCTTTGAAATAAAAATATTTCTCAAAGTTTGATAATGGTAATTTCTCAAAGTTTGTTAATGTTTTTTCAAAGTTATAGAACATCTGAAAATATTATTAAAATTTCACATGATTTAAGACATGGAAACAGAAAGACATTTTTGTAACCAAAATATGGAAGACTCAGGCAGCAAACTTTATAAAAGCTAAAATCATAGGACATTTCTTTCTTGAAAACTACATTCTTATCAAAGTGATTTAGATATATAAGGTCTGGTCTAACTGTACAAATATTCAGAGATTAATTGAAATATCTTTTTCTATTAGAAGGTATAACCCTTGAACTATTTAAAAACAGGAAATACAAGTGTAAATGAAGAAGAACAAACCTTGGTAAGGATGCTTAAGAAAAACTGGTTGCTGCAATTAAAAAGAGCAGGAGTATCTTCTTTATAGCATCAAGAAACCCTATCTGAACTGCAGGATAAAGCTACTTGTAATTTAAGGCTGTTTTAACTGGTCTTCCCTACTAAAAATAACCCTTTTATCTTTTACCTAAAGCAGAAGTACACTCTCATTTGTTCTTGACTCCAAACTTTATTCCATGTCAGTGGACTGAGCTTCCCTTTGTTCTCAGTACACAAGACTTTAAAGCTACAATCTACATGGATTTTAATTTAATTTGAAAATCAAAGAAACAACATCACAATATAAAATAGAATAAAACATAACATATATAATTCCATCAGTAGGATACATGTCAAATGGCTTCTCATTCAATTATTTCATTCTGAAATCTATTTGGGATACAAAACATGTACTTATGGTAAGTGATTTTTTTTTTTAATTAATGGGTAAATAAGTTTAAAACAGAGTACAAATCAACAAATGTTAGGCTTTAATAGCCATCTACATAGCACTTTTTCATTCATCTGAATGAAAGGTCTGGAACTGAGTAATTCACAGATACCTTGGCAGCTACTGGTCTTGCCCTAATCTCTATTTGCTTGCCAAATCTAACTCCTTGAATTAGGCATGTAGACACAGAGCTATGTAAGAAGTGTGTACAGAAATAATCATGTTAATTTTCAGGAGAAACCTGTACCCATACCCTCCCTCTGCAAAGGCCTATCCAATGAAGATGGTACTGAAAGGAGGATTCCTGTTTTACTAGTCTTCATCATGTCACGTGGCATTTTTACAGTTGTTACAGCTGAACAACACACTGCATTTCCTTACAAATCAACACAGCAAGCACACACAGAGCTCCAGCACAGGTCTTCAATAACCAAAATGGTCATCCTCCAAAGGTCCAAAAAAAGAAAAACATGAGTCACACCTTCCAAGAACAACAGTGCTTTCTCTAAAAAATAAATTCATGAGCTTCTATGCAATGTATCTACCTATCATTGCAGTGCCTAGTAGCTATGCAAAGGGTTCTTTAAAAGAAAACAAACATAGAAATCTACTCTTCCAAGTATTCTCTTTGGAAGCAGGAAAGAATGCCACATGCTCTCTTAATAAATACTTATAATAAAAAATGTTTAAGGGCATTATGACTAATACCGACATTTTTGAGAGGGAGAAAAACTAAATGTTTCAATGAAAAGTGCAGATCACTTCTCTGCTGTCAGAAGAAATTTCAGTGGGTTTATACTCTTAACTGAATAACAAGCTTGGGATTGTCTGCCATCTCTGAATCTTACACAAAAAATCACTGATTTTGGTGAAAGTGATACATTTGGGAGTGTACATATGGTGTCCTCTGCAAAACTCTTAATTTGCAGTTCTTTGTAACATTTAATTCATTCATCAAGTTTAGCATTTGAAACTTCTCCATCTTTCTCAGTATGTAAGTTAAGAGTGTTTGTGGTAGTAGTAGAAGACAGAAGAGCCAAACCCAAGATTTTCTCCTATTACTGAATACAGCCCAAGATAGAAAACTATTTAGCCAGATTCACTCATAACCCACTTCTGGCTCTGCCAGGGACTGAGCACTCCTGACTAGCTACATCCATACACATCAGGGCACTGCAGAATCAAGCTTTCTGTCCTGAGAAAGCCCATCTCTGTCCATAACATAAAAGAGAAAACAGTGAGTTAACACACATGAAAGGCCATGCTCTGAATTGAGCAACTGCAGGCACACTGAACTCACACACAGGAGGTTGTTTCTCTCCACTACTGAAAGGGAGTATTATATTTCTCTATGCAATGGTTTGCAAAACAAATACTTCTTATATAAGATTTTTCTGGGGAAAAAAAAATCCTCTGTTATTTAAATGTATTACCCCTAATTTCCATCTTCCAAATCTAGAAATTATTACTGGCTTCAATGCTTATTCCCTGTCCCCAGTTAAAATTCCCACAAGAGTCAGAATGCTAAATGCATCTTCCTGCATTTCCATGCTTCTGGGTCTTGCCAGAAATAGGGACTTGATTTTGAAGCAGGCTTAATATTTCTTCCTGTGGGCCATCTTTACATGTTGTGAAGATGAGTAACTCACTGAGGAGCACAGCTGTGTATCACACTCTAAACTGGGCCAGGAAGTCCCTGATAGCGCCTCCTACAGAACATCTCCCTCAGAGTATTCTTGGCCATTGCTGAGATACTTTCTATAGATATTTTCTAATTTCTGATTATTTTAAGAACTGGAGATCCTTTACAAGGCAAATCCTACTGACTTTTAGCACTTCCCTTTTGTAGGCAATTGCTAGTCACTATGATTCTCTCCTTAGTCTGACATGCAAAGTAATCAGAAAACTGGAGTGGTGCCTTGATCCTGATACAAACCCATCAGCTTCACTGAAGGACTTTTTCCTCCAGCAAAACTGTGAAAAACCTAAAATGTTGCTTCCTTGGGAGAAGCTGAATGACTGAAATGCTGGCAGAAAACACTCTTCAGAGAGTAATAAATCAAAGTAAAAATACTTGCCAACTTAAAAAATAAATAAAGCATTAGCCATTTACTGCTCCATATGTCATGTTTGTGGCCAAGATACCCAACTTCAGCATCCCTTCAGTGTAAAATGGATGTTGTCAGTTAACAGGAGCTGGTCTCCTGCAACCTCCTTGTTAAGCCTGCTCTACTACAGGTCACAGGCTGGAAGGGAAGGAGGGAGAAGAAAGGGAGGCAGAAGCTCTGTAAAGCAGTCTTTTTCCAACAGGAATATTTCATCTAACACCTGGAACATTGCACAAGCACTTGCATTTGCAGCACTGACAGACTGCAGAGGCTTAACCAACTCTGTTTTTTCAGCACATCAGTCCTGAAAGAGAGGTGAAGGACCTGGGGCTCAGGAGAATCATGTTCTCCTTCCTTTCTTGTGCAAGAGACTAAACATTCAAGAAGAGGGAATAGAAACAAAGTGATTACTGTGAAAACTAGTTTCAGAGATGCAAACAGGCATGAAGGGCCAAGGAAAGATAGTAAAGATATTCCAATCACCAGACCCTGTTCTGCTGGAATAGTCTTCATGTGGGACAGCCACAAAAAACATCCACAAAAAATATCCACAGCCAGTATTCAAATGCTGAAACCTCCAATGCAGAAACCACACACAACAACAGCTGGGAATCCCATCACTGAAATACAAATACTAGTGCAGAGATGCTACCAGCTTACACACACCTACTGTAACCTGTAACAGCCTCCAGAGAGCTCCTGCCCCTGGGCAAGTCAAACAACCCCACGTTTACATCTACAGGGAATTCATTTATAAGACAGAAAGGACAGGGGGACAGTGAATGCAAATCCCATTATGATGAATTTCAGCCACAGAAGGGAGGTAACCATCAAGTAAATAAAGACAAAAACCAAAACAAAACCTAACCAACACCTACCAAACCGAAAAACAGGGACTAGTATTGAATAGGTTTTGTCCTAATTTGAATCATTATGTGCATAAAGGCTATCAGAACCTGATAAAGCACTAAAAAACATACATGGTAACATGGTATTTTCAGATATGCATTAAAAATCAAAGTAATGAAAACCTATTTTTATAAAGGTGTGTGTAGGCTATATAAATATAATAAAAAAATTTAGTCTGAATAAAATTTCTGCACACCACAGTGGCACCCCACAAGAGGGAACAAGCTCCATATATGCTAGTGTATGCCAGTGCTCCATAAATGGAGCATATGTGCTCCATTATATGCCCAAAATGTCCTCCTATCTCTCCATCTAAGATTAAAAACTAAGTTACAAAATTAATTTATCCTAAGAAAATTATGACAGTCTTTTTTGGTATTACATTTGTTCTACCAAAATTAAGCTAATGTCCACCACCACCAAATATATTCCAGGAACATATTTCTTTCTTGATCACCTCAATCACTTAGACAAAAAACCAAATTAAAATAGCAAATGCAAGCATGAAATCACTTTTACTTTTACATTCTACTTTGTTTAAAAGGTGTTTTTTACAACAACTCCCATTCTGTTCAGAGAGTAATAGCAAAGAGCAGACACATGAAGTGTCTCCCAGCATAAAATCTCTCCCTCATGGCTTTCCAACCTGCTGAGTACAGGATTTTTTTGTTGCAATTGTGGGCAACTTAGGGGCAACAAAATTGTAGTGGGCAACAATCTTTTCCAGATATATAATACAAAACTCTTACTGTAGTTCTAGAGATTTTGTGTTGAATATACCACATGGTACCTGCAATTAATAACCTAATGTAATTTGTCTATGCTTTTCAGGCAACAGGTGAAAAGAACTGGTGAAAAATAGCCTATTTCTGTTACTAACAGAATGATGGAGAACACTAAGAAAACACAGTACATGGAGAGAGATTTTAAATTCTTCTCAGAGATTTTTTAACAGCAGAAATATTGAATTCTAACTACATTTATCAAAGGAAAACTTGAGTTAAAACTCTAGTGCCCTACAGTAGTTTCCTTCAGTGCAAGAGCCAGGGCAATGTCAATAGCCAGTGCCCTACTTCAGCTACCATGATGATCCTACTGGCACAGACACAC